GCAGACCTCTCCTGACCCACTCACTGCTCCCCTCAACAGTGTCTTTTGTTGATCTGCCTGTTCTACTCTCCGCTGTGCTACTGGTGAATCCTCTCATTACTCCTGTACCTCTGGCCTGTACCCCAGTTCTGTATGCATAAATAAATCTTAAAAAAAAAAAAAATCCATGGATGACTTGGTGATGGGAAACCCACAGGGATTACAATTGAGATGAAAAAAAAAATGTACAAAATGATGTAAAAATAAACTATTATATTTATAAAAAATAAATTAAAAAAATCTACAGACTTAGCATATTCTTAACATGTCTTGAACTCAAGAGTAACTTTCAGTTCATGGGTCTCTTCTCTTCATTTTCTCCCAATCTTTCAGTTTCCTTCAGACTACTCATAAGTCACAGCTATCAAGGGACTGATTATATGAACTGCAATTGACTTTTCTACATACACAGGCAGTAGGGGTTGGCATCTGAAGCACAACTGTGAATATAAATCCCCTACAATGTGATGGTATGCACAGAGGTAGAATTCTTGCACTTATTAATGTATTATTTGACCTTACTCAACAATTCATATCTTTTTCCTCAGAAATTACCCCAAAGTACTTATTATTTCTCTTCAGGTATCTCTCATCCAGACAACTACTACCAAGAGCTCTGAAGAGAACAAAGTTTTGCATGTGTTTTTATTTATAGTTTAGTTTACAAATAATATAAAGAAATATCATGAACAGAAAAACTTCAGCAAAAATGTTTCTATAAACCAGCAAAGTTGAAAGTTTTTAAAAAAACTTACTGTTAACAGCAATCCATTCATTGAGGTCCTCTCCTTCTGGCAACATAACAGCCTGTCTCAGATTCCCACTACCTAAAGTTGCTTCTGCGTGTTTTAAGAGTTCGTACTGATGAGACCCTTCAGGGATATTCTTCTTTGGTTTGAATGTTTTAGAAGAGCGGCTGCTGCTGTTAGGTAAAAAGTAAAAGTGTATTTTATTTTAGGACTGGAAGCAGAATGGCATAATTCTAGCTAGATAAATTGTTGAGAATATAAATTATTCCTTGAAAGGTACTGGTATTGGGGGACAATGATGATCACAATGAAAGAAAGCTTTAAATTTGTTTCCTCCCATACAAATTGGATTTTAGCAGCACAGCTGCACATACATAGAAGGCAATTTTACTATGCCTCAAGCCAGCAGTTTAGAATAATAGAAAGAGCACTTTAAACAAAAGGGAAAAACCCTGAATCCCAGTAGTCCCTGATCTGCCACTTACTTTGCGACTAAGAAGCCCAATCACTTTTTAGCCTCAATTTCTACCTAAGAAAATGGTGTTGGGAGACAGCCTTAACGTTATTATAGCACAAATATCCAGCTTTTTATGTCAAAATTTTTGCGATGCTATCAAAGCAAAGCACAAAAATTAACATTTAACATTTTGAAGTTTTTACCCACAAAAATAAATAAGTAGTTATGGGGGAGGAGTTCTTTATTTCTCTCATGCTATCATTAAGGAAGGCCTTCTTCACACAAAGCTGAGAAAATACCAAAAGATTTCTAATCAGAACAATTAAAATTTCTCTAACAAAGCAAAAAGACAACACAAAAGGTAACTACAATGTCTTTTACAAAGAACTAACTGTATCAAGGCTTCAGAAAAAGCGGCTAAGGATATCAGGCAATCTTGAAAGAAAAACACAATGACTAACAAACCACTAAAAAGTTGCTCAATAAGGGCCCTCCCTGGTGGCGCAGCAGGTTAAAGCACAGCACTAGGATCTAAAGCCACTTCAGCATGAGTTCGATCCCCGCCTGCCCAAGAGGTGACCCACATGGCCCAGCAGATCTCTCCTGACCCGCCCGCTGCTCCCCTCAGCAGTACTTCATCGATCTGCCTGTTCTGCTCCCCACTCTGTCTCTGGTGAATTCTCTCACCCCCTGCACCTCTGGTCTGTACCCCAGTTCTGTATGCATAAATGAATAAATCTTAAAAAAAATAATTACAGTAAGTATTAGGAAGGGGTGAATCACAGCATTAAGTAAAATCCTCTTTAATCCATCCATTCCACTTCTAGGTATCTTTCCTAGATATGAATAATAATATATTTTCTGGACCTCCCTGGTGGCACACGGGGCTAAGTCTCGGCACTGGAAGTTATCCATAACCATTGCAACATGAGTTCAATCCCCAGCAGGGGAGCTGACCCACATGGCATAGCAGACCTTTCCTGTCTCGCCCACTGCTCCTCTCAGCAGTGTATTTCAGTCAATCTTCCTGTTCTGCTCCCCACTCTGTCTCTAGTAAATTCTCTCATTCCCTCCCCCACCCTAACATACACCCCAACTCTTGTATGCATAAATAAAATAAATCTTAAAATTCATATATTATTTTTTTCTAAGATTGTTTTAAGTGATAAGAAACCTGGGACCAAGCCTAAAGCTCATCAGTAGAGGAATGAATAAACTAAGATGCATCACATCATGGAATACAGTACAGTAGTTAAGAACAAGCTAGAGCTATATGTATTTACACAGAAAAGATCTGAAATGCTTAAGAAATGACAAAGCCAAATGTACAGCAGAAGATTATCCTGGAGAGTAAAGTAGTAAAAAGAAATTACAAAAACACTAAAAACCAAACATGGAAGTTTGTAACATAACAAAGCCCTATATTTAATAGGGAAGTACTAAATTAAAAGGAATGGCCCTTTAAATTGGAAATAAAAACAGAGGTGGGGGGGAGTGCACTGGACTATGGTGATGGCACATGAGTGATTTGGTGATGGGAAGCCCAAGGAGATTGCAACTGAGATGGAAAAACGCACAAAATGATATTTTTAAAAAAAAACTATTATATATATAAAAAATTAGACATAAGCAGTGAATGGCAAGCTAAATATAGTAAATGAGGAAATATTTCAAGATTCCGGGCCTTCCTGGTGGCACAGAGCTTAAAGACATAGAATTCGATCCCTAGCCAGGGCAAGGTCCCACATAGTGTAAGCAGACCTCTTCTGTCTTGCCCACTGTTCTCCTCAGTATATTTTATATTTGCCTGTTCTAGTCCCCACCCAATCTCTGGTGACTCCTCTCACCCTCCCCATCTATGGCCTGTACCCTAGTTCTTGTATGCATAAATAAGTCTGACAAAAAAAAAAAGATTCAGTATCATCATCATGTGAATTAAGACCTTTATACTTTAAATAGTGCCATGAGAGGAAATACTTGCAAATTATATATTCAGTAAAGTACTAGTTCAGGATAAATTCTTACAATTAAAAAAAAAAAGGGCAAATAACCAAATTTAAAAGCGGCCAAAGAATCTGAAAAATATTACTCCAAAGCAGATACACAGGTGGCCAACAGGCACACAAAAAGATACTCAACATCAGTATTCATTAGGGAAATGCAGATTAAAATCACAATGAGATCCCATTTCACATCCACTGTGGACTACTATAATCAAAAAGAATTGCTGATTAGTTTTAGCTATAGTAAAATGGGGGATTATAATGTTGTACACCTGAAAGTTTTATGGTGTAAAACATAACAAAAGACAAATGCTAGGAATGTAGGGAAATTGAAACTCTCATACAATCTGGTGGGCTGCAAAATGCAGTGCTTTGAAAAAGTTCAGCAACTCAGTTCCTCAAAAGGCTAAACAGTTACAGTAAGTCAGCAATTCTGCTCTTTGGTATTCACCTAAGAAAAATGAACACACATTCATACAAAAGTCTGTACACAAAAGCTCACAGCATTATCCCTAATAGTCAAAAGTGGAAACTTAACGTCCATCAACAGAACAAAGTTGAAATGAAATAAATAGCATTACCTTTAGGTCCAAAAAGCAACTGTGCATCCACAAAAAAATCAATGCGGATACATCAACTCAAGAAAAACAATGAAGGGAAGGACTGTTGTTACAGTCACTTGAAATTTGCTTATAAAAATCTTAATCTCACAGACTTTTAGACATGATGCACATACTCTGGAGACTATGTCCTTATGAAAAATAACCCAGGGGCCTCCCGAAGGCCTAGCTGGGTTAAGTCTCAGTGCTATCAAGCCATCAGCGCTGAGGCCTGAGGTTTCGATCTACCGCCAAAGAGCTAAACCACAGATGTCACAGCAGACCTCAACCTCTCCAGCCTCCCGGCTGCTCCCCTCAGCAGTGTTTCAGTAGATCTGCCTGTTCTGCTTCCCCTTAGGTCTGTGGTGAATCCTCTCTCAGACACTCACCCACCTCTGGCCTACACCCCAGTTCTTCTATGCATAAATAAATAAATCATAAAAAGAAAGGGTGGCGGTCCCCTCCTACTGCCCCTCTTGTGGCGCAAGAGTTTATGCCGCAGCACCATTGGGCTATCAGCAGCCACTGCAGAACAAGTTCAATCCCCGGCCAGGGGGCGGGGGTGGGGGGGTGGGGGGATGACCCACATGGCACAGCACACCTCCCCTGTCCTTCCTGCTGCTCCCCTCAGCAGTGTATTTCAGTGCATCTGCCTGTTCTTCTGCTCCCCACTCTGTCTTTGGCGAAACTTCACACACACACACACACACCCTCCCAGCACCTCTGGCCTGCACCCCCCCAACACACACTCCCAGCACCTCTGGCCTGCACCCCCCCACACACACCCTCCCAGCACCTCTGGCCTGCACCCCAGCTCTTGCATGCATAAATAAATCTTTTCCAAAAAAAAAAAAAACCAATAATCCAGAGAAACTGATTCGGATACGATCTGGAGTATCCGACAGTCATGTAGTAGCATAATACTAGAAAGAATCCAAATTTCTCACACTAACTAGGTGAATTTTGGTTATGAAACACCAGGCAATTATCAAGTACGTGGGAGATGTGTACAAAGCAGGATAGACATTCAACCCTACAATATACATGCTAGCAATATACCAGGTCGATACAACTAGGAAGAAAGTGCTAGAACCAGGCTTCTCCAACCTTACCGGGTGTAAGAACATCAGAGCGTTTACAAACTGTTCCACCCGGGCCGCCTGTGGGTCCAGCCTTACCTCTAAAACAGTATTTCACCCAGGCAACGAGAAGCGAGTTAACTGGCCTCTAGTTAACAAAGTGGGCTGACAGTCTGGCCGCAGCCTAACGTCAGCTTCTCAAGCGGCGGCACCTCAGGCTGTCCCGGAGCCGGGCTTTCCCTCCGGATAACGCAATACTGACGGTAATAAAACCAGATAAACGGTGGGGTCAATAGCTAAGTCAGCAAGGATCGTCACGAGAATGCTGGAAACTTGAGAGAAATCGGGAGCCTGCGGAAGGCCTCCGGATACGCCCCCAGGTCGTCCCTCCCCTCAGGGGCGCTGGGGCGGAAAGTTTGCCGGCGTGGGGCCTGCCAACTCCGCTACCCCCTCGCTCCGTTTCCTCCACCTCGACCTTCACCTCAGCCTGCCCGGGTTCACCTCCCAGACGCGCCCGTGGCCCCGAGTCGCACCCGCAGGCGCCGGCCATCCCGACCTCCACCCCCCAGGTCGGGCCCTCGCCTGCAGCGCTCGTTCGTCCCCTTCCTGCACCTCAACTCTCAGCCCCCCGCCCTGCGCCATCCGTCCGGTCAACTCACAAGAGGAAGCTCATCGTCAGTCTTTAGGGGAGAGGGGCCGCTGGCCCCCCGCGCTCAAGAGGGCGCCCGCTCGGGAGCTGAAAGGGAGCGACGGTCCTCAGCTCCCGAAGAGCGGAAGCCCCGGCCGCCGCTGCTCCAGCCCGGTTCCGAGCCGACGCAGCCGGTGCAACCCACCGCGCCCGCCTCCCCCACCTCGCCGACCAGAGATGCGGAACAAGCAAAATCTCGCGAGCGAAATCGTCGCTCTGCCCCGCCTCGCCGATAAGGACTGGAGGGGCCCGTTTTCGCTCCGCCCACTCCCACAGCCCAGCCAATCAGCGGCCTCCAGGCTCCGACTTCCTTCTGCCGGAGCCGGGTTAGAATCTCGATGCTCCGCCCAGGGGGTGGAGGGTGTAGTCGGGCTGGAAATTAGGTTCTTGGGTGCCTTGGCTGTTTTGTCTCACCGGTGGCTAGTTTGAGTGCTGCGACTTTTAATTTGGCTTTTAAGTTAACGTATAATTCACATTTCATATAGCGTGAACATAGTCTCCCTTGTGGTTACTGTCAGGTATTTACAGAGCTGTGCAACTATCTCTACTATCAAATTCTAAAACATTTTCGTCATCCCGAAAAGAAACGCATTAAATAGTCACTCCTGCATGGCTTCCTCCTCCCACCCCCTGGCAACAACTACTCTAGCTTCTTTTTATATGGCTTACATAACCTGGACATTTTTCTACAAATGGAATCATGCCCTACGTAGTCTTTTGTGACTGGCTTCTCTCACTTAGCATAGTGTTTTGCTTTAAATAACATAATAGTTTATTTTTACATCATTTTGTGCATTTTCCCATCTCAGTTGTAATCCCCGTGGGCTTCCCATCACCAATCACCCGCGTGCGATCACCATAGTCCAGTGCACTTACCTCCCCCCACCCTTTTTGATCCCACTCTCCACTCCACCCTGTAAAATGTCCCTGGCATATAGCTGTTCATTATTATTATTTTCTCGCCTGATCCTTTATACTCCTGCTATAGCGGAGTGTTTTTAATGTCGTTTTTGGAGTTGAGTGAATTTGGAGTCAGGGTTCCCTCTGGTAAATGTTTCACCAGGGCTCCCCTTTCAGCTTCAGGCAGTGAGTTTCCCAGGCGAGTTTCTCCACCAGACAATTACGTTAGTTAGTTATATTTAAAGGGCAGCTTTATTAGGAAAAGGGACAAAATAGAGGACTCTTGCATAGGCACAAGTAGGGAGAAAGAGCTGCCCCAAATGGGACAGGTTTGCTGAGAGAGTCCTGCATGGTTGCAGGCAGGAGGCTTTGAGGAGAGATGCCTTTTGCTGAAGGAAGTCAGTGCAAAAATGTCGGAAATGGAACAGGTCACCTGCGGGCAGGAGGCTGCTGCCCTGGAGGAGAGTTAGTGGAAAGAAGCACCTGCATAGGCACAGGTAGGCAGAAGGATTGCTGACCTATGCCAGAACAGAGAATGCATTCATACCATCCTTTTGTCTTTGGGAGAGGCTCATTCCTTTGTGGAGTGGCCTCTTTCTGCTGATTGTGGGTAACTATGTGGAATCAGGACTGAAGATTCAATGGGTCCAATCTCTGTATCTTTACCCTCAGGTCTGTGCTCCCACACTCCCTACAGCAGTCTGATACTGGCTTGGGCCTAACACCTTGTGATAAGGCACTGTTGCCTAAGGATGGATCTTGATTTCTATAGCTGAGTTAATGGTCATGTTAATCCTTCTACCGCCACCTCCTTGTGTGAGTCAGGCTTTAATTTCCTGATGCCTCCTTTAGGTTTTCTATTCTTTCCTCCATCACTTTTAAGGTTCATCAGTGTCCCACCATCTATCAGAACTCTTTTTTTAGATTTTAGATTTTAGCTTTATTTATGCATATAAGAACTGGGGTGAAAGCAGGAGGTGGGAAGGGGTGAGGGGGTTTACCAGAGACAGAATGGGGAGCAGAACAGGTGGCAATCTAGTGAAATATACTGCTGAGGGGAGCAGCCGTTGAGACAAGGAGAGGTCTGCTGTGCCATGTGGATCATCTTCCTGGTCAGGGTTAGAACTCATGCCTCTGTGGCAGGCATGGCTAGCAAAAGCTTGATGGTGCTAACATTAACCCCTGCACCACCAGGAAGGCCCCTATTCCTTTTTATATATGGATAATATCTCACTGTATGAGTATACTTTTTTTTTGGGGGGGCCATCTATTAATGAACATTTGGGTTGTTTTCACTTTTTGACTAATATGGAAAGTACTGCAGTGAACAGTTCCTGTTTTGTTTTTGTTGTGTGTGTAGACAAACGTGTTAATTTCTCTGGGGAATATACTAGGAATGACTGGGTTCATATGGTAACTGTACATTTAACCCACATCCTGGGTAACATTTGCTATTGTCTTATCATTTTGGGTGTAGCCATCCTCCTGTGTATGAAGTTATATCTTGTGACCTTGATTTGCATTTCCCTGTTGGTTAGTGTTGCAATCTTTTTACATGCGTACTGGTCATTTGAAACAAATTTTATTTTCATCTTCTTTAAGTTGCCCCAAAGGGCCCCAAAGGGGCCACCAAAATGATAGACAATAGAAAATGTTACCCAGCATGTGAAAGATTGGAAACTTTAGACATCTTTATGCAGAAATGTTAAAATGATTCAATTGATCTGAAGAAATTTGACAGTTCTGGCCATAGAACCTCAAAGAATTTCTGTCACACTCCTTTCACCAGCCCACCACTTCCTCTACACCAGTCAGTCCAAATTCTGCACTCTGCTCACCCTCCCAGTTTGTCAGTCCTATGGGCATTTTTTTGTCCTTATTTTACTTGACCCTCAGCTCTGTCTGACCCATCCTACAAAATACCTGATTTTGTGAGAGGTGTCACTGGTGAGGACTCGTGAAGTTGGAATTTCTTTTTATTTCTAAGTTTTCCCACTTTTGGTTTGATTACAGTGATTTTATTTTTCAAGAACTATATTATGGTCCTCCCTGCTAGTGCAAGAGTTAAAGTTTCAGCTCTATCAAACTATTGCCAATCAATGCAGAATGAGTCTGACCCCTGCCAGGGGGCTGATCCTCCTGGGACAGCTCCTGCCTTGCCTGTTGCTCCCCTCAGCAGTGTATTTCAGTAGATCTCCTGTTCTGTTCTTCATTCTGTCTCTTACCCCTCACCCCAGTACCTCTGGCCTACACCCCAGTTCTTGTATACATAAATAAATAAAATAAATCTTAAAAAAAA